AGACAGTCCTGTCCTTATTCAGGCACTGAAGAAGACCCATACAATGCCCAGGGGACTCAGCATCATGTTGTTATGGCTGTCTGTCCTTGTATTTCTAGTTGGTGGGACCCTTCCGTCTCTACAAGTTGATGCCTGACTCCTTGCCTGGATCTCTAGATACTGCTTAATACCATGTTCATCCACATGGCAGGGTCCTCCATGGTCCTCAGCCACACCTGTGACCTGTCCTTTATTTTTGACATGTGCTGGAGATAAATTCTGTGGTCTAAATGTCCTCTGATTGCTTATGTTTCACTTCATCACCTTCATGTCTTTCTCTCAGGTCATAGAATCTCATTCTCTCCCCTAACTGTAAATATGCCACAGTTTATCCCTGTATATGTTATTTTAAAGAGCATAGGATTTAGTCCATGGAACTGTATGTCTGTACAGTTGTTCCACTTTTCTTTGTGGTTAAGACTGTTGTAAAGTTCAGAGATAAACATCCCTGGATCCTGAGACGGTATCTTCCCCCTCCCCCCATCTCATTAAGGCACCAATTGCCTGCAGCTGGTTGGCTGGTATTCTAGATAGGGGTGGATGAAGACAGTGTCAGTGTTCTCTGTGTGCTTTGGAGTGTCTCCACTCTTAACACTTGCTCTTTAGGGGTCTCTGCCTTGGGCTGGTGGAGAAGTGCATTTCTGAGCATTTCTTTCAGTCCTTGGTCATTGGCTGACAGGTCCTGAAGAGGGTGTAGAAGCCCAGCTACCTTGCTAGCAGTCCTACTCCAGGCTTCTCTGTGGGACTAGGACACAGTTGTTCCTCTCTGGGATTTTCCCTGAGGTTGAAGCCTTACCTGGCTTCCTTCCCTTCCTGTGCCCCCAGGGAACAAACACCACTGTAACTGTCCCACGATTTTGTCAGCTTTTGGGGAGGTTGTATTTTCATTATCATCTATTTCAAAATATTGTAAATTCTCTTGTGGTTTTGTTTATCCCATGGGTTACTTAGTAGTATGCTTAGTTTTCATATTTTGGGGAATTTTCTATATTTTTTTCTGTCTTTTATCACAGGATGTACTCCACGATTTCAGTCTTGAAATTTATTGAGACTTCTTTGATTGTCTAGTAACTTGGTGAATGTCCTCATTGTGCTTATGAAGAATGTGTAGTCTGCAGTTTGGGTTTGTGTTCCATAAATGTCAGTTTCATCTGCAATTAGATGATTCATAATTTCTTTATCCTTACTGATTTTTTGTTAGCGGGAAGGCCCTATTGAAGACTTCAGCTCTGGTTTTAAGTTTATTTCTTTAATTTTATGAAATTTTGAGGCTTTGATATTAGATATGTAGCTTTTGAGATTGTTATTGTCCTTTGGGTTAGTTGACTATCATTTTAGGAAGTATCTCTTTTTTCCCTCTGGTAATCTTTGTCTTAAAGTCTACTTTGTCTAATATTAGTATAACCAACATATTTATATAATGCTTATATGGTGTCTTTTTCCATCCTTATACTTTTTAATAGTTTTTTATTATAATTAGATATTATAAAGAAAGGTAAAGACCTATTAGAATAAAAAACGAACGCAATTTATAATTTTAAAGATGTAAGAGCAAGAAAATGTGTAACTTTATAAAGTCATCCAAACCTGATTTATATGGTAGATAAACACCCTTTAAAGAAAATAACAAGTTTTCATAGAAAATGCATCATTAAGCCAGTTTATAGAAGATTTAAAAATCATGTTTAAATCAAACTTTAAATTGCTTTTCTTTCCCCTTTCCTTCTTACCTCTCTTTCTTACCCCTTCTTTCCATGCACTCTACAATAAGCTGTATCCCCAGTCCTCAAAAACTTTGCATTCTAAAATAACTTGAAAAATAAAAATCTCTGATGGCACCAGGTGTAGTGGCACATTCCTATAATCCCAACACACAGTAGGCTGAGGCAGGAGGATCACTGTAAGTTTGAGGTCAGCCTGTGCTACATAGTGAATTTGAGGCCAGCCTGAACTACATAGCAAGACCCTGTCTCAAAAACAACAAACAAACAAAACAGAACTAAAAATGACGGCAACCAAGAGCATCCTAATATAACCCCTCTCCACACATTTGAATAGAAGAAAAAACAGAATCCTATAAATTCTTTGGTGTATTGGTTTTTTCCTTCTGCTACAAAATAATAAATTTCGTACTCCTTTTGCAAGGCCAAGGAATTCTCTTTTTCTTGTTTTCTTTTTTTTTTGGTACCAGGGATCGAACTCTGGACCTTGAACTTGTGAGGCAGGTGGCGGAACCACTAAGCTAAATCCCCAGCCCCAATTCTCTTTTTCTTAGAGAACTATTTTAATATGATTCTGTAGGCCAGTCTCTCCTTGTCTTTAAAACATGGGCCCACAAATATCTCTGATACTCTCCTGTTTATCCCCAGAGGGTTTGTCTTCTTTGTAGTGGATGGTAGTTTTCCTGTGGGGGCATCCTGCCAAATAGCATTCATAGTCTTCATGTGTTGTCTGATCAAACATGTTTTATCATGTAGACTTTTTTTCCTCTTTTTGTCTCTATCCCCCTCTGCCCTTGTTCAGTCTCTAAAAGCATCTTTCTCCTGACCATCAGCCCATGTTCACTCCTTCCTCTTCATCTTAACTGCCATCTGTTACACCGACACTTGATTTATCCTGGGAAAATTCTTCTGAATCTACATTCCTTTAGAATTTTCAAAGACTACTTTGTTGTTTTACAAAGATTTTGTTTTAGCACCTGTTCATCAGTTTAATCACAGATCTGACTGAGGATTATACGTAAGTTTTTACACCAGTATATTTGTTTACTTAGGTATTTTCCCATGCCACTTAGAAAGTTTTAGCAGTCTTATTTGAAGTTATATAATATTCTGTGATGTTTGTTAATTTATTTTAGCACTTTCTCTTATTGAATAGGTAGGATTTTTTACAATGTAAAAATTTTTTTTCAGTTCTACTATTTATTTTTTTTAAATATTTTTGAAAAAATATAATTTTTTTACAATATTTTCAACTTAAACACTATTCACACTGAACATGTATGGCAGCTTAACCTACCCAAATACGAAGTTTAAGAAGCCAAAACTGTTCCAGCTTTGTTAAAAAGAAAAGTTGTGCTGCAGATTGTGCTTAACAAAGGAAGGAAAAGCACCATTCAAAGCACGTAACAATCTCTTTGTTCAACTGGATTATAGGCTGGTGTTTGTCCCAAATTAGACTTCACACAGATATGGCTGTGATGAGGTGAATCCTCAGAAGGCACGATTCTCAAATCACATATTCCTCAAATGTATCATTAGAAGAATTCAGTATTTCTTTTTCCTTTTTTGATACTAGGGACCACACTCGGGACTTTGCACTTGTGAGGCAGGCGCCGGAACCACTGAGCTAAATCCCCAGACCTGAATTCAGTATTTCTAACATGATAACATACCACACAAGCCAGGACTAGCTCTTATCTGTCATTACCTTGTTACCTCAGTCACCAATGACAGGTATTTCAAATTATCAGGTATTTTTCAGAAAAATATACAATGTAAAATTTTTAGAAGTAAGTTTTCTCTCAAGTGCTGTATTTGAGATGGTATATTTAATTTATATTAAAGAAACGAGGGTCCGGGGATTTAGCTCAGTGGTTCCAGTACCTGCCTCATAAGCTCCAGGTCCCGAGTTCGATCCCCAGTACCAAAAAATAAGAAATGAGACAAAGGTCATAAAAGATTTTACTTCATTATTGCTAGATTGGTTTCAAGAAATGGCTAACTTTTATTTTGACCACTAGGCCAGGCTAGTTCAGTAGTAAATACTTTAGGAATAAGTTGCTTGCCATATTTATGGTTTGTAGAAGGCAGATTTAATGTAATGCTATAAAATGACTTTATTCTTTTCCTTTCATTAGAAGTAATGGCTTGTAAATTTCATTTATTTAATTATGGAGGACATTTTGCTCCACTGAGCCCACATCAAATTTAGTTCTGCAACATTTTGCAAGTATTCATCATGAGGCAGACTTGTTGCTAGATAGTGGAAAATAAAAATGGAAGAAATGGTTTCTGGCTGTCAAGAGTTCAGATCCTAGAAGAAGAGAAAGACACATAATCATCTAAATGTTTTACCATGAAATCTTGACTTATATAGAGTGAACCTGTGAAGTGCTGATAGAAGATTGAAGAGAGCAGTCTTTAGTGCCAGAAGGTGTAATGTTTTGCGCTATGCCTTTAAAAGAATAGGCTGTTGTGTGAAGTAGGAGTACCAACACAATCTCAGGAGAAAATAGTATTCAGTGGCATAGCAAAGAGCATTAGAATGTAAAGGATAGCCTATGTTTCACAGTTAAAAACAACTTCTGAGGGCCGGGGATTTAGCTCATTGGTTCCGCAGCCTGCCTTTTAAGTGCAAGGTCCCAAGTTCAATCCCAGTACCAAAAAAACACAAAAAACAACCTGCATTTCCAGATTATTTTATTCCTTTAGGATCTTTGTAGTTGCCTAGTTGTAATTCTTGATATGGGACTGTTGCTAATGTCCACCAAACACACTTAACTTGAATGGTCTCTGATACTTCTCTTGTTGTCAATCTGTTCTTGTATTACATGGATTAGTAGAACAAATGGGTTGCAATCTACACTCACATCCAAAGGAATTGGCAGCTTAAGGAATCCGTTTTTCCTCCACCTCTCCTGGGCATCATGTGCATTTTAAAGATCTGTGTTTGACAACTGTAGATTCTTAACAAAGGACTGGTGCCATTCCAGTTGTTTTGGAGCCTTATTTCATGCTGTGTGATGTGGCTTGATGATAGTTGATAAGGTGGGGGTAGTTTTAAGATGTTCCAAATGTTGGCAATACAGATATAATAGAAATATGCAAAACTGGGTGGTCTGGGCTATAAAAACTGACCATGAGTTAATCTGTTAATTGAAGATAATAAAGTTTGATCATTCTCTTAAGGACATGGTGGATGTTTTTATGAAATTTTATTTTCATCTTTATTTTTAATAGGATGAAAGTTAAAAAACTGCCCATGATTCTAGCTCTACATCTGAAGAGATTTAAATATATGGATCAGCTTCATCGATATGCAAAACTTTCTTATCGGGTAGTTTTTCCTTTAGAACTCCGCCTGTTTAACACTTCAGGTGATGCAACCAACCCTGACCGAATGTACGACCTTGTTGCTGTTGTGGTTCACTGTGGAAGGTAATTGCAACTCTGGGGATGTGGTAATGAATAGAGCAGAGAGCATTCAGTATGTTCATGAGTGATGTGAATTTTAAGTGTTCTTTATCCTTCTCAAGATAAATTTTATTCAAAATGGATTTTTCAGATGTACATTTTATTTTTTCTTAGAGCTTTCTATATATTAAATTATTGCCTTAGTTTTTATTCCTATTATTTAAATATTATTCTAAGGGTATTATGTTTTGTGTTCCTTAAGTCTCTTTTGTTTTTTATTGTTTGCTTATTTTTTGGTGGTTGTTGGTAAAATGATGCTGCCTAAATAAATTTTACAAAATAAATCATTTCTGAGACTAATTGGATATGTTCCTCTTGTTAATGGTTATGAAAAGCATTTAAAAGGTTTTGGAAATACTCTTCAAAAACCATTTTTCTGATTTTACTAGTGAGTGTATTTTTCATTTCTTATTAGCCAGTTTAGTATGCAGGCTCATTTTTATTCTCTTTTCTAGCAGTGGTTTGCCTGTTTTCCCTGCATGGATAGATATGTATTTATACTTATTAATTTACAAAATAACAAAAAATTTCCAGACTATAAGAGCATCACATAATTAAAACTTGTATTTGCAACATAAAGTCTTCATTGACTGCATATAATTCCTTTAATAATTTTAAAACAGGTCACTTGTCCTTTTTCCCAAGTTTTGGAAAACTTGTAGTAATTATTTGATTCTAAATTTGGATTCCATTTCACATCAGTGTAGTTTTATCTTTTGGGGTGAGGAAAATAGGTAAGGAATATTTTATTCTAGTTTCCCTATAGAACATGAAATTTAGAGCATGAAAGAATAATATGAATAGGCATAGTAAGAAATTAACTCTTCTTTTTCTTCTTTTGTTTTAGTGGTCCCAATCGAGGACATTATATTGCAATAGTTAAGAGTCATGATTTTTGGTTGTTGTTTGATGATGACATTGTAGAAGTAAGTAGTTTCTTAATTTTTTTAAAGTTGTGAATATATTTAGTTCTTCACTTTCTCAGTCATATGACTGGTGATGAATATTAGACAAATGTCCAGGTCTTTAGATTATAGTTTAATTTTACCTTTTTATTTCATAATGTCCAAGCCCAGTGCTTGGATGGCTAACCAACCTTTAATAACTAGAATAAATAAGGGAAACCTTTCACTAATAGAACTAGTTTCCAAGAAAGTCTTTCATTACTTTTAAAGAGCTATGTAATATACATAAAGAACAAAAATGTTAAACAACTTGATGAGTTTATATTTGCATGAGCAGACATACTTGTCAGTCACTAGCCAGATCAAAATGCAGTATATTTTCAGTACTCTAGCAGGCTCCTCCTCCTCGGTTAATACACACACCTGTCCCCACCTCTTCCCTCTATCCCCTGGAACTGACTATTGTATTTAGAAAATTAATCATTGTGATTAATTTTGCCTGTGTTGCAGTATAAGTGGATTTATACAGAATGCCTTCTTTTGGGTCTGGCTTTCTTCACTCATTACTATATTGTGAGATTCCCTCTCATTATTGCTATAGTAGTTGTTGTTTTTCCTCGCTTTGTAATTTTTCTATTTTATGAACATACCAAGTGAGAAATTTGTCTTTTTGTCAGTTATTCACCATTATGAACAAAAGTCTTTTGATCATCCTTGCACAAGTCTTTTATTAGATGTATGCACTCACTTTTCTTGCATTTTACATTAGGTTGGACCATTGGAAATTGCCACTTTTGTAGGTCTAAAATGATTGAAATTACTGTGTTTCATGTGTTTAACCTATACCTAGAGGTAGAATTGCTGGATCAAAGAGTAGCTGAACATTCAGCTTCAGAAGTATTGTTTAATATTTTTTTCAAAGTGTCTGTACCATTTTACACACCTACCAGCTGTGTAGGAAGAGTTCATTCTCACCAGTGCTTGATATTGTCATTTTTTAAAATTTAAGCTATTCTGTTTGCTCAGAGTTCACATATATATTAATATTTGCATTTTGCCTCACAGAAAATAGATGCACAAGCTATTGAAGAATTCTACGGGTTGACATCAGATATTTCAAAGAACTCTGAATCTGGTTACATCCTTTTCTATCAGTCTCGGGACTGAGGAGGACCATGATGAAGAGATACTTTCTGCCTAATTTCTTCTCAGGTTATTTTGGAAAAGATCAAGCACTGAATTTTCAAGAAAAGAGAAATGCAGGAAGCTCAGGGGGCAGTAGCATACTTTGCACACAATAAAGCAAAGACTATGGATTAACAAGCCCTTCCTATCATGGTGTTGATTTATTTGCTCAGGTATCATGCTGTCTGTGCAGTTCCATACAACAAGGACATGAAATCAGAGATAACAGCTCCTCTTGTAAAACAGCCTTCCAGATATTGACATGCATTTTCTCTTTATAAATTGCACCAATAATAATTTGAATTCCTTGGGGGTGCAGTAGGAAGAATTGGAATATGTGCTGGCTTGTATCGATAATGTAAAGAGATGATTTTGAACACACTGCACAGATGCCCGGGGTTGGTATGTGTAGAAGCATATTCAGTGTCTTTTTAAGCATAAACCAGAAATACTTTTGGGCCCAACACTTGCAGTTGCCTTCCTGACTTACAAACCTAACAGTAGAATCCAGTGTCAGGAAGACAAATATGTTTTGCTTCTCTGAAGAAGCTTATAATAATATACAGTGTATGTATATGTAGGGAACAATTGGTCAGAAGTGGCTTTTTGTTTCCCCAAGGGGAAAGACTGGCTTTGTAATTATAATTTTTTCCTTATTTATTTTACTTAAAACTGGTAGAGACTTAATTATTATATGAAGTGCCCATGATTCTGTCAGTAAATTTTAGCCTATTTTTTATTAGTTTTGTCAGTTTAAATACTCTTTTTGTTTGTTTCTGTTTTTAAGGGGAATTTTAAATTCTATCTGAAATCAGTAAGAGAGCTTGAGAAAAATTGCAATGAGAGGAGGTAAATATTCTTTTTCAGGAGGAACTGATATCTCTGGCTCAATATTTGTTCTTTTGTCATAGTTTATAAGTCATTTATTTTATTCAGCTTTAATTTCAGTAAAATAAAAATTTAAAAATTCCCTAGAGTTGTTGGAATGATTAAAAGAAATTCTGGTGCAGTGGTGATGTACTGGTCTTTAGAATTCTTAAATAGTCTGATGTTTCAAATTGAGCCTTGCTCAAAAATTCATGTCATCTAAGTTATTTTCAAATATCTTGTTTTTTTAACTTTGGTTAAAAAGTAATATATTCATCATAACCCTAGCAGCCTGGATTGTGGCTGAAAACACCTTCTGAAGATTACATTTTGATTAGATAGGCCAGTAATTTTTTAAAAAAAGAAAAAAGGCCATTTTTCCCCCTGTGACTTTACAGATTGATTGGAAGAACGTTCAGAAATTAAAATTTATATTTTTCATTTTGCTGGGGTTTTTAAGAAGTAATATGTGTGAAGTAAAATGTACATCATTGCAGTTGGTATTTTTCCATGCATCAGTAAGTTGTCTGACAGTGGCACAATGTAACTTGCAGAGAATAATTGAAAATTGCTTTCAAAATAATAGCAATTAGGCATTGGACGTTTCTTATCAGAAGGAGTAATTTTTTTAGTTTTCTAAAGTTATTTTACTAAAACTGTTGACAAGAAAAAAAAGATGTTTCTTGTGCTGCTATTAACATTTCTTATCCATATCTTTTAGCTCAGGAAATGACTTCACCTATTTGTCCCATAAACAGATCGTTAACAGGGTTACTTAGCTTATTGGGCTGCTTAGACAGATGTGCTGAAAATTACAATATTTGGTGTTTATACTAAATATCAAAAAATATTTTGACAAATTCATTTTTAGGATACAGCTTCTCTTACCCTAGCTGAAATTGTTTTGTACAAATTACACATAGCCTGTCTGATCTGCCAACATTACACAGAGAATCAACAACCAAGAACATGGGGGAAGTCAGAGGAGTAGAAGAGCTTGTATTTTGAGAGCTTAAACCGAATTGTTGTGGAATTTAAAGTTGTATTTTTACAGGTTTCTGTAAAGAAAAAGGATATGGTGAAGCACAGTTAGTTTTAACATCAGCTAGGCCACAGCAAGTATAAAGATAGATGAAGTCATTTGCATAAAGGTACAACATTGAAATACTGTATTGAGTTTTGTGCGTTTTCACATTTAAAAAATCCATACAGGCAAAGCAAGTTAAATTTCATGTTACAGCAACTTCTAACATTTGTATTGAGTTCCATGGTCGTCACATACTTTGTTCACATTTACACTGTATTTCATCATGTGATTTGTCATAGGAGGGACTATGACTGATGGTTCTAAATTTATTTTTTACTCTTAGTGCAGCTGGATATAAGTAAAATGTTCTGAAGCTTATCAGAAGCTCAATATACTTTTAAAATATATAGGGTTAGGGTTGGGGAGATAAAAATACAGGTATAGTAAGTAAGAAAAGTGACCCATCTAGAAAGCATTGTGAGGTTGTGTGTGGGTTGGCTGTGATTAAAATAAGGAGCAGGTTAAAATTGTAAATGGGGCTGATTTGCTATATATCTATGTACATGTTTGTTGGGATAGCTGTCCCATATTTTGTATATTGGAATAAAGATTTCTATAAATTATCTTAACTAAAAGTAAATACTCTAAATTAAGTTCCACTTCTAAGTCACATGGCTTCTGTCTTGGAAATTTTATGAACTACAGGAGCCAGAAGGCTTAGGAAAGGGGAGGGAAGATGTTGTACTATATGGGTCTTGTGGCTTCTAACCATCAATATAGGTTGTTTTCTTTCTCTGATGGCAGTAGGAAGACCTCATTCTCATAATATACTACTCTTGATGCTTTATTTTAAAGATACTTTTCATTAAAGATTCTCTCATGAGGTGTTTGGCTGGGAGCTGGGAGGCTAAGGTGCTCAGGTCCTGGCTCTTCAGTGAACTTAACTGTGTGACCTTGGGCAAGTCACTTAACCTCTCTGTGCTTCAGTCTCCCTGTTTTGTAAAATGGGAGTAATACCTACCTCACAGGGTTGTTGTGGGGATTAATTAGAAATAATGTCTGTAAAGCATTTAAGGTTCTTGAAGAAGGCGCTATATAAATACAAAATAATATCTATTAAAATTGGTTTATTTGTGCTTGTGGGGTTTTTTTTCTTTTTTACTAAAATGTATTTGCAAATTAGAAATTCACATTATGGAAATTGTGTTGCTGTTTTTGCACAAGTTAGTATTTTTGTTATCTGAAGAGATTTTCTCTAGAAGAGCATTGCAGTTATATGAACCAGTACTCTGTATATGCCTGTATTGAATTAACACATAGCTTGCTGTGATGGTCTGCTTCCTGTTGCTATGACAAAACATCTGAGATAATTTAAACAGAAAAGGTTTTGGCTTGCACTTTCACAGGTTTCAGTACCTGGTTGTTTGGCATTATTGTTTTTGGGTCTGTGATAAGATAGAGCAGCATGGTGGGAGAGTGTGTGGTATAAACAGGATGCAAAATAAAGAGAGAAGGGGCCAGGGTGTCAGTGTCCCTTCCAAGGGCACAGCATACTTCCATGACCTCACTTCCTCCCACCAGGGCTTGCCCCCTAAAGATTCCACCACCTCCCGGTATCCCCAGTGGTTGGCAGCCAACCCTTCAACACATAGGCCTTTGGGTGACACTCCAGATCTAAACTAAGACACTTCTGTTTGTCTCTATTTATTTTTATATTTAGAATCATAAATTTTTTACCTGAAAGGTCGCAGTTGTACCATTCCTCCTCTTTACAGTGTAGTAATTGCTCCTGTAGATTCTGTTTAACGTTTGCTTAGTTGACCTGTCCTTGAGTACTTTGAGCCTGTTCCACTTCTGAGTAAGTTGGATTGTTATTAATGTTCCTGTCATTTCTAGTCCATCCTCATTCTCCTAGCATGTCTTCTGTTGCCAGCACTGACCTTTGTATTAATAGGAAGTTCAAAGACTTCGTCATTGTTGGGGGCCCTGTTCTGGAAACACTTGTTTATTTAGATCTCTGAATGTTCTCAGAATAAACAGCACAAGCAAATAAGACTGTCAGTGAAGACCTAAGGTGGCATTTTCTTCTCTAAGCATCTGTATTGCATACTTCATATTGAACTTTTGGTAAGTGAAATCTTGTATATCCAAGAGTTTTTCATGAACTGTTGAAAAGCCTTAAAAATGCTTCCCCACGTCTTGTTTTAAATTCGCTTATTACTAGTACCTGTGTGTTTAGCATTTTGGTTTTTTCCTACCTCTCATTATTATGTTTTCTTTGTTTTCTTTTCTTTTTTGGTACCAGGGATCAAACCTGGGACCTTGTGCTTGCGAGGCAGGCAGCAGAACCACTGAGCTAAATCCCTGGTCCTATTATTATGTTTTCTTTCACAGCATACTACCTCTGCTCACTCTCCAGAGCTGCTACAGTGAGAACCCATCATTTTTGAGTGATAGCTTGCTATGTGATTGGTTCAGTACTTGGCATTTTACTTCATTTGATGTCAACCTCAGTGGCAACATCTACTGGGTAGTGATACCCTCGTTTTATAAAAGAATCTACAGGTCTTTAGTAATTTTCCGAGAATCTCACCGTCTGGAAAGCATCAGATATAGTATAATGTAGGTGCCCAAGCTTTTATCTTTTACCTGTCAGTATCAAAGGATTTTTTAAAATTGTGGTAAAATAATAAAAGTTAACATTTTAACTAGTTTTAAATGTTCAGTTAAATGACAGTGTATTCACCATGTTGTGCAGCTCTCACCACTGTCCATTCCCAGAACTCTTCATACCAAATAAGAACTCTGTACCAGTTAAATACTAACACCCCAGTCTCCTTACCTCTCCCCAAACCTTTGGTAACTTGCATTCTACTTTGTGTCTGCAAATTTGACTGTTCTAGATAGCTTACGTGGGTGGAATTATGCAGTGTTTGTCCTGTGTTTGGCTTGTTTCATTTGGTATAACGTTTTCAGCACACATCCATGTTGTAGCATATGCCAGAATTTCTTTTTAAGCTTGAATAATACTGCTATCTGTATATGCCGTGTTTTGTGAGTCCATTCATCCTTTTACATCTGGGTTGTTTCTGCCTTTTGGCAGTTGTGACTTAGACTGCTAATGAGCATTGGTATGCAGGTACCCCTGGGAATTGCAAGATCATATGGAATTCTGTTTAACTTTTTTGACAACAACCATACTGTTTTCCGTAGTGACATCTGCATTTTATACTCCCAGCAGCAGTGCATCAGTCTTCCAATTTCTCCATGTCTTTGCCAGTGACACTTGTTATTTTCTGATTTTTGTTTGAGTAATTGCCATCCTAGTAGGTGTGGAATGTGATACCTTGTGATTTGACTTGATTACCCTAATGACTAGTGATGTTGAGTGTCTTTTCATGTTCATACTGACGTTCGGATATCTTTGAACAAATGGCTATTTAAGCCCTTTGTCCATGTTTTCATTTAAGTGGGTGATTTTTGTTGAGTTGTAGTTTAAAAAAAATTCTAGGTAGTAATCCTTTATTAGATAACATAATTTATAAATTTTTTCTCCTATTCTATCTTTTCATTCTCTTAGAGATTGTATCCTTTGATACACAGAAATTTTTAATTTTGATACAGCCACGTTTTTCTTTTGTTGCATTTTTTTGTTTGTTTGTTTCATATCCAAGAAATTCAGTGTCACAAAGATTTTGCCCTATGGTTTTCTGAGTTAATACTTGCGGCTTTTATATTTAGGTCTTTGATTTATTTTGTGTTAATCTTTGTATATAATGTAATGTAAAAGTCAACTTGAGCTTTTTTTTGCATGTGGATATCCAGTTTTCCCAGCACCATTTGTTGAGAAGACTTCCACTGGTCTTGTCCCCTCTTGCCAAAGATCTATTAGCCAGATATTCTTGGGTTTATATCTGGGCTCTTTCTTTTGTCCCATTCTACTAGTACGACCCTTTTGATTATTGTAGCTTTGTACTAAGTTGAAATATGGAAGTGTTGATTCTGATAATTTTTTTTTCTAAGATTATTTCAGCTGTTGAGGGCTGTTTGATATTTCATGTGAATTTTAAGTTTTCTTAGGCAAAAATTGCCATTGGGATTTTTGATAAGAGACCAAGTTAAGTCTCTGTGTTAGTCTGTGTTAGTCAGCTTCTCATTGGTGTGACAAAATACCTGACATGAAACGACTTACAGGAGGAAACATTTATTTTTGTTCATGGTTTCAAAAGTTTCAGTCTATGGTTAGCCAGCAGTGTACCTTGAATCATTTGTCAACAAGATTGCAGAAAAATAAAATAGAAGCTTGATTTTACTGAGCTCTACCATGTCATCAAAAATCTCTATTCACTGCAAGGCCAGAAACAAGACAGTAATATACTGTATGTATAAATCTTGGGGTGATATAAGCAGTGATTGTGGAGTTTTTAACCTATTTATTGGTACTTTGTTTTGCTGGTAGCTTTTCCCTTAGTCAGAAACCACTTTCCTTATGGTATTTTTGTTTGTCTGTTTCTTGAGACAAGGTCTCTCTTCGTAGCTCATGCCAGCCTTGAACTCACACAGCCCAAGCTGACCTGAAACTCATGGCAGTTCTGCCTCAGTGGTGGGATTACAGGCTTGTGCCACCATACCTGGCCCAAACACCATTTATTTTAGGCTGCAAAAGCAAATGCTTTTGTGGCTGGCTGGACTTGAACTGGCTGCTAGATTTTCTTAACCTCCCAAAGGTTTGCAAACACATGCATTCATAGAAGCCTCAAAAAATACATATATAGGTGAGCAGCTATTTTCCCAGTGTTACATATACTTATCATTGCCTAATCACCAGTTATACTTTGATTGATTAAATCTATTAATAAACATTATTGAACATGTATTTCTTAAAAATTCCTGTCATAAATACAAAATAGGAGCATTGTAATGTCTAGATTTCTGTACATTGTATGTATTCTACATTTTACTACATGTTGTACTGTTAATTAGAACTGGTCTAAAATCACTTTATTGCATGTAAAATTTCAAACTGAGATATGAAGTTTGTCATCCTGTACCAACACAGGCAGGGGTGGAGATGTTTGTACTTGCAGAAGACATTCCTGGATTGTGGACTGTGGTAGAGAGGGGCTTGGAAGGCCAGAGAAAGTGTGCTGGGACTGAAGGTGAGCAGACATGGTCATGGGCTGGCTAGCTGCAAAAAAGGGTCGGGGTACTGGGCAAGGTTCCTAGGTCTCTGATTTGCACAGGTAGGTAGGTGGAGACGTTTTTCTGAATATCCAGGAAGATCAGGTTTGGATGTTTGATTGTAAGTGTTTGATGGTATAGATAGATGTGCCACAGCTTTGTTGTAAGCATTTGGTTTAAGTACATTGACTTTGCCTAACAATTGTGGGAGGTCTGGCCATGATGACATGTGAGTAATTAGAATTCATATGCTCAGGCCAGACCTATTAGTCTGCATCCCTCATACCATATGTGCAAAACTGATTAGAACCTGAGGTTAAGTAGAGTTGAAATGGCTAGCATGCTTAGACTGTTTTGGGTTTCCTGTTACAAGGTCTGCAGTGTCTTGAAGCATTTAATAATTGAGGACAGGTTGATAAAAACAAATTACCCTCACATTGAAGAATGTTGAGTGGCTTTTGAAAGCATGCTGGAAACACTGCATCTGTAACACTTCCTCTAGAATACAAAAGATGATCAATTTTAAGGACCCTTGAGAAGCTGTAGGACAAAGGATGAAGTGGTTGCTGGGCAACTTGCACATGTTGAGCAGTTTGGTAAAGTGAACAGACTACTGGAGAGATGGTAGCCTAGCTATGATTGCAGTGAAACTGGCCCAGGACCTGGTGCTGCTGCCTGTGCCACATGTAACTATTACTGGCAGTCAGAGGCCAGGATGACTCAAGGGTAGTCTAGTCTCACCAGCTGTATGGTGGCTCATTGCAGTCAGGCCTCTTCAAGGGAATTCTTCTGGAGCTCTTGATGCCAATATGTTGAACAGGTTGTTTTGACACAGTCTCTTGGCTTCTGTCCCAGCCCTAGTCTGCATCACATGTTGGTACATTGTTGATTGCCTTTTCCTTTGTATGCTGAGCTAAGCATCATGTTTTATTAGTTCCACTCTTTATAAGTAGAC